TAAGATAAAGTGAAACTGGAAGTGCCCACTGTGGCACTTTCAGTTTCTCTGAGCCCCCATTGCTCAGGGCAAAGCAGTTTGTGATGCCGAGCCCCCATGGCCTGGGGGCATAACAGGCTCTGTGGAGCTGTGCAGGACAGGAGGGGTGGCGATGCCGCAGGAGGGGCGGAGAGACACCCCAGATGTGGCATGAGAAGCGGTGGCCAGGGCTGCTCAATTAACCAGCATATTTTGTTATCTGGCATCCCCCTGTTCCTGGGGGATGTCAGAAAACAGCTTTTACTGTATATGTGTGTGTGTGTGTGTGTGTGTATATGTGTATATATAATAGAATGCCACTAATATATACATTAGTGGCTGTTGTTGGGATCAAGTAGTGGCAGCGGGGGTGGGGAGTGGCGGTGAAAACTCCCCCTTTTCCTTCCCACTCCCCTTCCTCTCTCCTCCCTCCCCTCTTCCCTGCAGCCTTCCCCTGCCTGTCGGATGCTTCAGTGTGATGGCTTCCTCACCCCCTCTGTCCATAATGCTCTGGGCACTTGCAGCCAATTGACAGACATTTTTGATGAAGCACTGGCTGGAGCCATAGCCCACCAGCAGCCATGCCCCCCAAAAGCATTACAGACAGACACACAGACAGACACACAGAGACCCTTTATATATATAGAATGTATATTTTAGTGGTGTTTTACTTTAATCACAGAAAATGTGGATTTTTGAGTTACTTTAGGGGGGATTTTTTTTAATCAGAGAAAACCAGGATCCCTGCTCATCAGGATTAACAGACCAAGGTCAAAGTCCTGTTTCACATGTCCCAAGTCACATTTTACATGTCCAAATGGTACTTAGCCAGGAATGTAGTTACCATTTTTGGCATTTACACATATCTAGTAATCCTTTCCCACATGCAGTGTGGATGTACCAGCATCTATATCTATATAGCTATCTATAAAATGATTAAAATGAAATGCCTTGATTAAAACAAAACATTACTATCTATCTATGTATCTATGTATCTATCTATCTTGACATTTCATTTTAATCAAAGAAAAATGTGGATTTTGGTTTAGTTTCTTTTATCCAAAAATGAGCAGGGGGATTTTTTTAAGCAGAGAAAGCCAGGATCTTTGCTGATGATGTATGGCATGCAATAGTTTTGATAGTGATGAGCAGCTCAGTGCAAGAGGGGCTGTTGGTATGCTCAGAAGCTAACCTTCACCTAGGGATAATAGCACTGGGCACCTAAAATCTGCCCTGTAAGTGCATTTTGAAAATGCTACCCGGATAGCAGTGGATATCACCAGCAAAAAAATACCTGTAAGAAATTCTATCTGAAAACACTCACTGTATCTCTTGTTCTCTGGTGGTGTTTCTAAAACCAGAAAGAACCAATGCAGAAAATGGCTTTTCTATTTAAACAGATACACCACTTCAGCCTTGCACTGGGGGCGCTTGAGTCTAATTATTCAACTATGCTGAGCACATGCAGTTCAACAAAACCCTGACTGTAGATTTTAATTTGTTTAAATGAGCTCCTAAATGACAGTGTGAAGCTAAACTGCAGTGCAGAGACCACATATGAATACATAGAAGATTTGAACAGTGAGGACTCTAGAGCACTCCATTAAATTTTCTTTGATTATATAGTAGAGCAGAAGTAAGCAAAGTAAAGGCTTTTATGCTATAGAAGGCTACTACATTCTTAAATTTAAATATTGCAATGAAAATTCATTAAAGCACACATCTAGAGATAGTTTTCATTCCAAAAACTTCATGTGGGAATCTCTCATTCTGTTAAGTGAGGTATTCTTAGAGGATC